CTGTAATTAAAAAAAATACGTATAAATAATACTTCTGTTTTGTGCATATACATTATATTACTTTGCTATCCTAGAAAAAGTACAATAATAAATTGATAATTAGTTAAACACAATTTATTAAGATGGAAATACCACAACTTTAAAGTGACTTTTATCAGAGTTTAATAAAACTACCTTGTACAATGAGGGTTTTCAATGGAAAAAAAAAACAATCTTCAAGTCAAAACTGTTAAACAAAACGGTCCTGGAATCTCTGCATTTTGCAATACAGTCTATGGAGAAATGCCAGCATGTCAGAGCACAGGGACTTATAACTACACATCAATCGGAATGTTTTCATATAGCTCAAAATTTGTAATGTGGCTGCTGGCTCTTCATCCTTGGCAGCTTAAAGAAACTCTCTGCTTTGAGAAACATGAACAGGCCGTATAGAATAAAGAAAGCAAAGTTAACAAAAACAGCAGAAGAAAATATCACTTAAACCTTTCAAAACATTAATTTCATGTTCCTTAATACCTAGTAGTTTTGGGTTATTCACAAATATTCTATTTTTATGGCTATATTTAGAGGTAAAGATCAATAAAATTATTAGTAGTATTTTATGTTTTCAATTGAACAAATAGTCATGTAACTTTATAAAAAATGATCACCAAGTTAGTAGTAATTATTTAAAATGTTTCTTAAGGGGATTTGAAAGTTACATCACCTGAACATTGTGATGGTGTGATCTGCTGCTTTAGAAGACACAGCTATATTTAGAAACAGTGCTTGCTACCCTGTCACCAAGTGCTGAGGAGAAATGACTGTCGTCACCGGTTTTACAACAGTCCAACGTGGCCATCTTGTTCATTTATACTGAGTGTTCAGCCACAAGAATCAGCACACCTGGCCTTACTTCATCACAATAAAATGGTGTTGTATGAGTGTACGAGTGTGTTATGTCCATAAACTCTAAAATTAAAAGAACTAGATATTGACTTGGAGTTTGGGTTTGTTGGCATCTACATCGCTAGCTATGACTCCTCCCCAGGCACTGCAAACCAGACTGCGGTCACTGACGGGGCACTGAAGTAACTTCTTTGTTCTCCATGTGGGGTAGAGGTTAGAACGGGCGGCTAAAGCACCTCTAAAATCTGAGTGACAGTCTAGTTTCTGTAGCTGAGTTCTTCTGAATTTCATGAGCTAATTTTCAGCAAGTATCATCATTGCTGCCTTTAGAACACAGATCTGCTAGGGACATCTGAAAGGCAGTCTCTGAGATCTGGTCATTCTGTTCCTGAGGGCAGCAAGCTGTAAACACATAAATCCATGTTCCAGAGTGCATACATTTGAGTGTGTTTATACATCTTACACAAAGATTTGATTTACACATATAAAATATTGTCTCATTTTATTTAATCCTTTCATGAAAATAGCTTAATTATTGAAATCTGAATAATGCAAATACAAAACCACTTCTAAGTGTGCAAATATATTCAAAAGTCTATACTTAGTTAATTTTATTTTATGGATCATATTAGAACTTTTTAATAATTATTAATCTTAGTAGACTTTTCTCTGAAAATTATTTGTCTTTAAAAAAATTAAATTGTAATGCTAACCCTAATCACACACTATCCTATTATAAAGATGAATTAGAGCAAACGTTAAGTTTTATCACACATATGAAAATCCTGAGAAAAGTTTATTAAAATTCGCCAGTCACTCTTCCTAGGAAGATCCAGTAGTGAACCATCCAGGTTCTCGTAGTCAGCAAGCTTCTCTAGGCTGTGCCCCAATTGGTCTCACCAGCTTCATCATCTCTAGGGCTCCTGCCTTGGGAAACAGCCATGGAAATCCTCACTCAGTCCACATCTCAGCTGTGAGCTCCTAAGGATAGCCTGTACTAATTGTCTGTCTGTCTTTGCCTTTGCTCTTTCGTGACTTCTAGCTGACTGACAGCTTTTCTCTTTCTTTACACTGACTTTTCTGTCCATGTATGTGTTTTCACCTGCTGAAGTCTAGGGTAAAACACAAGCAGTTTAGCTGGTAAAACAGTCACACCTCACACCCCATAGTGTCATTGTTCCTACATTTTGCAATGTTATTTCTTCTACGCAGATGCTAGCACAAAAAGGCATCTTCCTGAAGGTCACCATCCTATCTGACTTTACAGTTCCTATTCGTACCTGGTTTAAGTTACACATGGGTAATCATCAAAGAAATAAAGCAAAAGATACATTTGTACGGGAATACAATTTTATGTTAAAGATGATTAGCCACTGACACAGAGAGACATGTGTATGTGCATGTACAAAACACCTGACATTGGGCTCATTATTGTTTAATAAAAAATTAATTTTTTATGTGTGTATTTTGCTTGCCTCTGTGTAATTTTACCGTGCACATGTGGTGCCTGCCGAGGCCAGAAGAGGACATCACACCTTCCAGAGCTGGAGGTGCAATTTTAAGGCTTCTTTGGGGGTTGTGCGAACTGAATCCAGGTCCCTTGCAAAAGCAGAAAACACACTTAAATGTGTGTCTCTAGCCCCTGACTTTGGTTTCTTAAATTAACAGTAATATTTATAATTCTCAAATTCTAAAATTTCAGTTTACATTCTGTATATACTGAAGTGGTCAAAAGTTAAGTACAGTGATGTTTAAATCTTATCAGAAAATTCCTGGAGCCAACACTAACTGGATTTGAGTCAGTTGTAAATCCATTCCTGCCACATGGACAAACAAATACAGAACATCTGCCTCATTCCTATGTGTTCACTTATTTTCCACCATGTTTTACAGTTTCGTAAAAGCTAGTGATTAGCCTAGTTGAGCCATAAAAATTTAGTCAGATTGACTTCAGAGGTCTAGCACTGAACGTTATTTGATTAAGTGGTGAGAGAGGCCAGTAAAAGGCTGGCTCTGCGTGGGTGTCTACTGACCCACAAAAGGAGGAACTGTCCCACAATGTCCCTCCCTTTTGCTACAAACTTTGTGTTTGTAACTCAACCGATACCTCATACATATGAGGAGGTATCCCTAGAAGTATTAATACACTTATCTAGTGGGATGCTTCTGAAGCATTCTTCTCTGTGAATGACATCAATTTAAAAGTCATATTACAGCACCGCTTGGTGCAGGAAGAAGGAGGGGAAGGGTGATGTCAAGCACAAGCTATACAGTTACTGTATGACTGGGGACAGTTACACAGAAAGGAAAGCTGCTAGAGCCAACTGCAGGGAATCAGAGAAGTTGTAAAATGATATAATATGGCAGAGAAATCTATTTTAAGTCAGAATAATTTAGGGTAGTCTTGCTGCTTTTAAAAAAATCTGATTTTACTAAATTGAAACTCTGTTTATAGAAAAAGGGCTATTTGCAGTGCTCACAGGCTAAATAAAAAAAATCTACTGTTACTACTATTATTAAAGTCTCCCCCACATTGATTTGGGTACATAAATATTAAAACAATTCTTCATCCTGGTTAGTAAAAAAGCATATCTGGAAAAAGTTCGTTTTTTGATACGCAAATTAGGGCTCTCAATTCATTATTTTTCACTGAATTCAACATTCAACAGAAAAAAAGTAAAAAAAAAAAAAAAAAGTAAGCTGGGTGGTAGTATATGCCTTTAATCTCAGAGTTCCAGGACAGCCAGGGCTACAGAACAAAACTCTGTCTTGAAAAACCTAAAAAAAAAAAAAAATTCAAACCAAAACCAAAATCAAAAACCAAACCAAAACAAAAACCCAAAAAAGTGAAACATGAAATAGCTGTGAGGAGTCAGAGAGACATCAGTGATGCAGGTGGTCGGGAGAAAGGGTGAGATGTGTGGCAGGAAGGGACCAATTCTAAACATTTCGCTTCAAACGTCTGTTAGACACTAAAGTGACAATGTCAAGCTGATGAATGAAGATGGCTCTGGGGAGGAGAAAAGGTCTGAGAGCTAAGGAGAGAGTGCTCTGCATTGTAGAACTATATAGTGGCATCCAGATCAGGAAAATGCGAAGATTAACTGAATAATGATCAATAAAGTATTGAGGGGGAAAAGATACGACTTTTAAAATCACCAAAGGTATTGGAGCAGGAAATTAACCACTGTTAATTATTATGAACATGCAGATGTGTGTGTGTGTACACGCACGCCTACACCTACAATAACAGTGAAACACTGGCAACGCAGGAGGCGTGTGGAAAAAGCATCTACTTAATCTAGTTCCACAATTTTTGGAAATAACAGTGCAAAAGAAATTTTAAAAAGTATATAATCTGCATGTAAATATCTTCACGGAAAGATATCTAATCATATTTGATGTTGGGCAAGTCTACTAACGCAACCTCAGGCAGAAAAACACCTTTTGAATAATATACCTTTGTACCTTAAATCATATTAATTAGCAAGTTTCTCACTCTTAAAATAATACCTACACTAAAATTTTTGTAGGTATCAAACTCTTCAAATATATATGTGTTCCCTTGCCCCCCAGGAGCTTTATATTAGAAACTCCACAAGTAGCTTTGATATGAAGCTAGGCTCAAGAACTTTTGATATGTTAACTATGAAAGATGAAAGTTACATTTATTATATAATAGTTAATTTGGAATAATTTTAAAACATGAAAAAATGGCCAATTTAATACAGTAAATGAACACCATCTGTGACAGAGGTCTCTCCCCAGGGATCCTACCTGGTATGCACTAGCACATTCTAAGACATATAATTCAGGGCATTTTGCAGCTCAGAGGCACATATGATATCAAATCTTTTCCTTGAGAAACTTCTAAATTCTAGTTAACACATGATATGTATCAGAACTGATATCTAAATTTTCATTCATTGTCATTTTGTCAAGCTAACTTTTAGGAGGAAAGACATTGCAATAAAAGCCAGTAATTTTCATATTTCTATCATCACCATAATGGATTCAAACACAAAACACTGCAGATATTTTGTGAGAATTAAGAAGAGAGGCATGTTTCTTAGAAATGTACTTTTCTTTAGTTTATAGACAAGAGCTGCTGT